AAAAAAAAACATACACAGACAAAACCAAATTAAACCCTGTGGCTCGTGACGATACATTGAGGTCTTAAGACACGAAACGATCAGTATGTGCAAGAAACTGAACCGTATTTATATTATTTTTTACTTCTGATCCACCGCAATGTCCAACTGTCCTGAGCACGTTCACAACATCCGGCGCGTGACATCAAATAAATACGGTTGGGCAAAAAATTCCACATTGTCTGATGATGTATCAAAATCGTCTTCCATTGTGATGACCTGTACTTCTAAATATCTTTAGATCATCGCAGTGCCAGTGAACATGTCCGCAATCTCTCTGCACTGTGTAATTAATGAGTGACGTATACTCGCGACAGATCGCTTACGCACATGCGTCTACTATCAATATGTACTATCTATACTATATGTATAGATTCCCTATTCGACTGCTCCAGATATGTTGACACGTTCGCCATTTTGGAACGTATCGCGGCCCATAGAAACAGTCACTAATGAGGCATCTACTTGTATATATATCTATGTCTACTATGCCAGAGCACGTACACACGTCACGCGCCAGATGTTGTGAATGCGCACTGACATTGCGGTGGATCAGAGGTAAAAAATTATATAAATACTGTTCCGTTTCTTGCACAGACCGATCGTTTCGTATCTTAAGACCTCAATGTATCGTCACGAGCCGCAGGGTTTAATTTGGTTTTGTCTGTGTATGTTTTTTTTTACTCTCGAAGCCGTGGAGCCCATTGACTGCCATTATAAGACTGATCGACTGAACTTTGAGTTAAAAAAATCTTCATTTGTGTTCTACTGAAGAAACAAAATCACCTACATCTTGGATGCCCTGGGGGTAAGCAGATAAACATCAAATTTTCATTTTTGGGTGAACTATCCCTTTAAGGTTGACTAGACTAGACTGTAATACAAATAGTTGAGTTTGCCAGGTGCATACAACATTTATGAAAGTTTTTCATGAAAGTGTGGGTCAGTTTGTCTGCTTGACAATCCCATTTTGCACTGCAACAATAAAATTGAAGTGAGAGAAACAAACTGAGAAATGTTTATTTTTAGTTAAAACAGATGTTGCCATAGTTTTCGTTTGTGGACATAATTTGAAGTTAGAAAAAGGTAATTGCAATATATCGCAGAATATCACAATATATTTAAAATCGCAATAATATTGTATCGTGGGGCGTCTGGTGATTCCCACCCCTAGTAATAGTTATGAAGGTTAAAAACACTACATGTCTATGCTGCATTCCCTGAAAGTGCAAATACAACCACTAGATGCAAAGGATCACTCATTGGCTCATTCTATCACTTATATAGTTCTTTTTAGTTCTTTTCTCAGGTTTTATTAGGTACTGATATTCAGATATTTTAAAATCATCATTATATTTAAAAAACATTTAGTCAAAGCTTACCACTTCATTTATAAAGACATATAAGTTTTGACAATTATGCCACATGATTAAATTTAAACCTGAAAAATATTATAAACCGGACACTAAGCAGTAAGCATTTTATAACATGTAAGTTATTTCAAATATCTATATCTACAACATAATGTGTGTCTGTGTGTGAGCATGCTTAGTCTGTATTAAGTAATAGAGTGTGTTAAGTAATATACAGTAGTTCAACCTTTTCATTACTCTGTGTGTGTCATATTCTCCATCATGGATGTGTTCTGGTTTCAGCCATACATTTCACATTGGCTGAGACCCCTGACAGCACAGAAGCCATGAATGCCTTTAAGTTCTTGAACCCCGGTAATCGCTGCTTGCAGCTATATTTATTATTATTTTATTTTATTTTAATTTTTTTTTTTTTTTTGCTGAAGTAAAAAATAGTAATTATAATATCAAAATAAGCATATTTTACATAAAAATTTTTACTTTTAGAGGTAAATAAATAAAAACACAATTGCATAAAATGATCATTTTTATTTTATCAAAGACAGTGATATGACATTTATTAAAAATTGGGATCACATCTGAGACTTTTGTGTCCAAATTTTCCACGATGGACCAATTAAGGGTTCCTATACAAAGAATGCTTGAGGGTTAAACAGAACTGGACACGTCTGTTCAAGGCTTTCCAGTAAAGGGAGAAGGACTTTACAGTTAAAAAGAAAATAATAATAAGCAGTGCTGAATATATTTGTATATTCTTTGAAACTTCTGTGGAAACATGAAGTGAACATAAACTTTGTTATTTGAGTTTTGCCAGCATGCTTTCATGGCCTGAATGGGTGGTCAGTGAAGGAGAGCTTTGTAGGTTGCCGATGTCTTGTAAAATTTGCATTTTATGTTCTGTTAATTGGCAGTTGATAGGAGTTCCAGTGAACTGCAGTGGCTTTTGGAACTGGTACACAATGATCCAGTCCATTACATAAGGTCAGTAATGATATCAAACATTGTGTCTTCAGCTGTGTAATATTTGTTTGTATGTATGTATAACTGTAAACTTTTTAAAAATAATTTTAAATTATTGAATACTTTCATGACACATCACTTTATTCGATAACACCTGTTTAGTTTGTTTAGTGTTTTCAGTACATGGAAAGGATGAATGTTATTTTATATTTTGATATCTCAAACCTTCAAAACGTCTGGTGGTGCAGCCATCCACACATATGAACAAACTAAGAAAACTATTAAAAATTGTGTTTTTTATGATAAATTCAAAATAAAATACTGTGGCATGATTTTATGTTTGAAACCTTTCCTATAAACAAATTTCACAAATACCAGTAGTTTTAAAGCTGTTGAGATTAGGGATGCTCATTTTAACCGTTAACCGAAAGTACAAATTTTAACCGATTAATACTATCAGTTAAACGGTTTAAAAGGTTTTTTTTTTCTGGTACGGTTTTTTTTTTTTTTTTCACACAAATATATTTAAGTTTGCTGCATAGTAAAAGAAAAAATAATGCTATACATACAGTATTTGTTTACTCACGGGCACAGAGTAAATCCATGAGTGAATGTATGTAAATTCTGAAAGGATTATAGCCTAGTACGCAATGGGTGCACCCCTATATCACTGGAAAGCTGTCACTTATCTTACTGTAGATCATCACAATCTCACAAAGTTAAAGGGGTCATATAATGCTACATGCACTTTTACAAGTTGTTTGAACTGAAATGTGTGTTGGCAGTGTGTGTACACAACCACCGTAAAATTATAAAAATCCACCCAGTGTTTTTTTGTTAATCTACTCAAATCTTTACCCCTTTCTCAAATCGAGCCGATCTCAGATGCCTGTCTGTGTGACGTCACACAGACAGGCCCCTCCCACGATAGTTTGATTGACAGTAGCGTTTCTGCACAGACTGGACTGGTGTCTTACCTTAGACCCGCCCTGAGTGAGCTGTCATCAGTCCGCCATTGTTTCACCGCTGGAGCAGTTGTAGACAAGAATGACTCCTAAGGGATTGAGGTCTTCTGTTGTTGGATGTAATAATGAACATAGCAGGTCGTCGTTTACTCCCGTTTTCTGAGCCGCTGATGACGCAGTGGATTGTTTATTTTTGAAGGGAATGTGCCCCCGATCTACATAAATGCATCTATGTTTGCGTGAATCATTCGTGATCCAGCTTCACCTACAGAAGAAGTGTGTAAGGTTTTTTTTTTTACTAATCTTTGCAAATCGCCTTTCCTAATAATGTGCTAATTAGCAAGTTTCACGATGAATGCAGCTAAAGTAAACAGTCTCTCTGAGAGTGGCTCGGAAGAGACGGGCGGGGTCAGCAGAGCTCATTAACATTTAAAGGAAAACGCTACAAATCTGCATGCTCTTAAAAGAGCTGTTTTTGACAGGGTAAAAAGGTTTTTTTTACACTACCACTGTGAAATTTTAACCAAACTATGTTACAGACTTTTCATTAAGACCCTAAAGAATCATATCAACTTGTGGAAAATGGGCATCCTATGACCCCTTTAATTAAAAATAATCAAAGAAGCTTTACATTGCACAATTAATCTTTTATTTACATCATGTCTACACTTTCTTTGTTTTAATAAGAGAATTCGTGAACGTATAGAACTCGGCACAACTGAACCGAACACTGTCATTTTGGGTGGTGAGTGGATTGCGTTCATGAAATCAACAGATATGTCTGTGATTGGCTGTATTGCTCCACGCTGCTGCAAACACACCTTGAATAGAAACACATGACCAGTGGATGAAAAGTCCAGAATAGTGGTCGACTGATATTGGTTTTTTTGACTGCCAGTATCTTGGAAAGAAGGGTGGCTGATGGCAGATATAAAGCTGATATAATTGTATTTATTTTAATTAATATTTAAGAAATTTGAAATAAAACAAATGTAAAAAACAGGAAGGGGGGCAAAAACATATGTAAAATGTAAAAACATACTTAGACTTTAGATGACAAAGTATTACTCATAAATAAATATTCAATTAAAAAGTAAGTAAACACTGTAACCAACTGGGTACTCAGTATTCTGGGAAGTTTGTGTGCATTGGGAATCATATTTTTATTTTATTTTTTCAAATAAAGCCAAGGTAACACTCATTTTACATACAGCACAGTGAAAATGACATGAATATGACAGTGGGCAAATGCATAAAGCGCAGCATAATTTGAAATCAGGAGTTTAAAGTTTGTCGATCGAGCGTCTCCAGGGAAGCTGAACTCTCCTCCTGTCCGCATTCAATTCGCACTGATCGACCGTCACAGAGCACACGCGATCATGCAGTATACAATTGCACACTTCACAAGATCTCACAACTGGATTCAACCAAGTTTGCAAGGTTTGTGAAATTAAATGTTCATTAGACATTCAAAGATTTGTTTAAATTATGTAAATGCGTATTTGCTGAATGCTGACGGCAAACGAGAAAGTATTATAATGTTTGCCTTTCTATTACTATAAAAGCAATCGTTAAAATACTTTTTGTATACGTTTTAATTCCTTTGTTTAACGGTTCTATCTGATTATTAGACCGACTTCTATCCGTATTACACAGAGCTGTTAATGACGACAACAAACAAGGTGAATGTAAGCACTGTGTGCTCAGGAGCTGCCATTCTCAGCAGCGCCAAAAGAAAAGTCCTGCCTCGAACGCATCGGCCAAAGCCGATATTTGAAAATGCCAAATATCGGCCTTGTTGATATATCGGTCGACTACTAGTCCCCGAACTGCAAATTGACGGGATGTTTGTGATGGTGTTTTTGCCGCGGGTCTAACAGCAGACAGCACTCCAGTCTATCCGTACAGCATGTCGACACATTATTTTATTCTGTTTTTGTTCTCAGAAGCGCTGCTGTTGCGTGATAATTTGAGGATGTGTGAATCCAGGTTTTGCTTGCTGCTGTTTGCACGTTAAAATAAAATATTTGTTCGTATTTTTAATGTATCATCACAGATGCTTGTCCATTCTATTTTTATTTAATGCTAATTTATTATTCTAATTTTATCAGTTAACTGTTAATGTTTGGATAACGAGCAGCGATTGTCGTTCAGGAAATTTAACCGAAATGAGCATCCCTAGTTGAGATAATTGAAAAACTTTTGAGCGTTTTATTTTGTTGTTATTACTTGTACACAGTAGTCAGACCTTTCACATTTTTAAATAGTAATATAGCAGTATATTCTCATGTTTTATAGTTAGCAGAGGAAAAGGGAGGGAAAATATTTTGTCAACCATTACATTGTTGTTAAATCACCATTAAGGGTGTGTGATATGACTATTTTTGATCGTGCTCGATAATGTCTCCATGATCTGCTTTTGAAGAAATATCGTAGTATCGTGCTACAGTGCACATTCTGTCAGTTTCACATCTGGCGCTTCCGTCTCAATATACTGTACAACGCAACATTAACATCAAATGTTAACTCGGCAGTAGAGTTACACTCACAGGACACTGCACTTATTCGCAGTCACAAAAGTGCATTATATGCATGTGCTTTAAAGCCTTGCCTGTTAAAAGTTTCATTCACGTGCTGTTCTGATATGCTCTTTTTCTGAGCATGTACACCTGAAGCACGCCTGATTACTGGACTAAGTTACCTTTCACGCTAATCCTGTTAAAAACACACAAGGTTTACATATAAACACTGTTGTTTATGTCTGGAGTGAAAGTAAACGGTTGAGAGAAAAATGGATACTTGCCTGTATATTAGATGCATGCAGGTCTTATATATATATATATATATATATATATATATATACATACAGTGGGTACGGAAAGTATTCAGACCCCCTTAAATTTTTCACTCTGTTATAGTGCAGCCATTTGCTAAAATCATCAAGTAAATTTTTTTTCCTCATTAATGTACACACAGCACCCCATATTGACAGAAAAACACAGAAT